CCTCCGCCCTCTCAATTTATCTAGCAACGACTGTAACCAAACTTAATTTGCAAAAATAAAAAATTCCAGACACATAATTTAGTTTATTAGATACCTAGTTTTTCTTTACGCTCAAGAAAATAATTGGGGGAATTTAAAATGATACATCAAAGTAGCGCAACAGTCAACAACCTCATTCAAAAATTTGCGTTATCCCCTGGACGAAAATTAACTTAATTTAAATACTTTTGAAATAACATTTACTTGAAGTTAATACCATAATCATGAAAAAAAATTTATACTTACCTAACTACTTTATATTTACCTAACTTATTAATTTAAAAGTTAATTTGAAAAAAAAGTAACAAGTTAATTAACTTAACGCTTTAATTTAATTTAAACTTTTAACTCGTTAATGCCTAGCCTTCTATAAATATATATACATTAATTGCTCATCAGAGTAATAAAGTATATTATATTAATATATTATACATCGAAATTATGTTTATCCTCTTTTTACCAATAAACAATATTGTATGAAAATCCTCCAATTTGATCTTTGCAATTTTTTGTGTGGTCGTTTGTGTTTTTCTACCCGGATATGTTTAATATAACAAATTTCTAATCGTTGAATTTTGCGAGTTCTAACTTAGGTTTTCTATTTAGTGTATTATTGCTAAGCCTTTTCTTCGATATATTATTGTACATACGCTCCTGATTTCTGGGAGAAACAACATTCAATGTTCGCACACGACAAAATGCAATATAAAATATAATATATAGATACTATTATTAAAAAATTGCAGTTTTAATAAAAATTCTTTTTTAATAAAATAATTTAGGTAAGTGTATTATTAATTTTCTTCTTTTCTTCAATTTTAGTAGGGGCATATGAATAGTTTATTGACTACTATAATATTGGTTGACGGTTGTACTATTTATACTATTTACGGTGACAGCTCATTCCTAACTCAGGTAGTAAGGTGTGGTCATCATCAGTTTAAACGTTTATAGATATTATACAAATATTCAAGATAATAAGTTAATGAATAATAATAAAAATGATAATTTATTATAGGTTTACACAGTGTTAATGATCGTTGATGAATCTTTAATGAATCGTTGTCTGTAGCACAATTGTGGAACAACTGACTTCTAATTATTCTAAGCATTATTATAGAAGCATTATTATAGAAGAGGACGTCAGACAGATATTTATTGTCTCCGTCTTACAAGTGCGTATCATAGCAAATTTATCCTCAATAGAACAAGTTTAGCTCCTTTAGTTTAAAAATTACTACCTAATTAGAGTGATTAGTGAATCGACCTATTAGGAAACTTGAAGACAAGAACATTGTCTGTGTTAGTATGTTGTTTTTTTTACAATAATTCAAAACAAACTGAATTGGGTTTAAAACTTATCCTAATAAGCACAGATACGGTTAGTAAATACGCCACCGGTCCACCGCTGGGCGCTAAATAGTAAATACTAAATAGGTAGGTTAGGTTATACTGGTTATACCTACCTGCGTAACCAAACTAATCTAAAAAGAACTATGGAGTGAAGGATTTTCAATAAAAATGTCTACAAATCCACAAAGGTTAGGCAAATATAACTATGTTACCTTGATGCAGGGGCGTATTTATGGGGGTGGCTGGGTGGGCTGCAGCCCCCCTGAAATTTCAAGAAAATCCAAAAAATATGAATGTCAATAAAACTTTATTTGTTGGGTAAAAAAGCTTGAAAATTTAATACAAGGCTCCTGCTATATTGTTACAATAGCAGTTGAAAAATATTAAAAATCCTTAGTCATAGTTTTTTTATAAGCATTTAAAGTTCGAATCTTGACAAAATACGGAAAAATCACAAAACTTAAAATTTTGCTGAATGTTTTCATTTTTTATACACCAAAAAAATTTGAAAATATTTTGCTTCTTTTTGAGCTATTTACGGACATTGACAGTTTTCATTTTTCTTAGTTTATTTTCTATAAATATCAATAAAAATTTTTTTGTTTGGTAAAAAAGCATGAAAATTTAACGCAAGGCTCCTGATATATTGTAACAATATTAGTTGAAAAGTATTAAAAATACATAGGCACAATTTTTTCTTATAATCATTTAAAGTTCGAATTTTGACAAAATTTATCAAATTTAAAATGTAATAAATATTTTGTAATTAAAAATTTATAAAATGTTCAACTTTCATAGTTAAGGATTAAAAATTTAAAACAATGGTCCACGTAAATAGGTAAATATATAAATTACTTTATTTACAATAATATCATCAAATATACTTAGTAATATCATAGGCTGACTGGACCGTTTTCGCTTAGAATCGTTTTTCTTATACAATGATATTATATCATTGAATTTAAATTTTACACCATCCATTACAGTGACCCACTTGTAACCTACTGTACAGCAGAGCGACATCCACTTACCCACTTTTTTGTTTTATTGTGTGACTATGTTGATAATTTTGTTCAGCCCCTCCCGAAATAAAATTCTGGATACGCGCCTGGCTTGATATTTATAACTTTGAATAAAAAAATTAACATCTATTATCGCGTTGAATGTTAATCGTTACCAGCTATTTTTAGAATTTAAAATATAATGATAATACTATTTATATTTATATCGTATTAATCAATATTAACTAGGTATCATGACAAATTACATAATATATAGATTGAGCAACTCTTGATACGTATGTTTGTGATCTGACCACTGACTAGCGAGTGACGTGAGCGGAGGGCTACTACAACAGTACAACAGACTGTACTACATAGTACCTACAGGCTACAGGCTACAGAAGGTAGTAGGTACTACTACTACAACCGTCTTGTAAATTGTAATTTGTAATGCTGTTGACTGTTAGCGTTACACTATTATAGTGCTGTACTGCTGTCTGCTGTCTGCTGTGCGGACATACAGTCCGTATACATCGTAATCCACAAAGAATAATTATTATTATTATTAATATGCAATACCTGTATAGGTAATTAATAACATGGCAGTTTGTGTGTGCTTGTGCCGATTGTCGAGTGTGACCGCACGACTCGACGGCTGAGCACGTGTAGCGTGTGTTAAGAATTAAGAATTTTGTCAATTTTTTTTATCGAATATCACACTCACAACAGTCGCAACTCACCACTCGGCACTCACCGTCTCACCAGTCTTTACCAGTTCGTCATGATGTTTCGTTACCAAGGTGGCGCATTAGTCAAATGTAAAAATCCTGTCGTCATTGGAGTTCGGTTTCAATCTTCCTAGATCATCATAACCCTATGACATGTGTAAGTATAAATATATTTTATCATTGACTGTACATAGTATACATAAGTATACATACTACACATAAGTATACATACTATACATACCTAAGTATAATCAATGATTTTACTGAATACAGTAGAACCTCGATTAACCGTCAGTCTCGAGCCTTAACGGGTAATCGAAAAGACGATTAAACGAGAAATTGAAAATGTTAAACCTATTATATACCACATTATTTAATATTTTCTTTAAGATTATTAAGATATAATTATATAATCACTATTACTTCTTGGTACCATCATTTTACCCATAGAACATATATTACATTGCTGGAAAGCCCCAGATATACCGGCTTGCACTAAAGACAATTAAATATTAAAATGCTACTGCAACGTGCAGGTAATACACAAGTGTAGTCTAAGATGGTTGAACAAAATATGCGTATAATCGAGGGTCTACTGTAAATTCCATCACCTGGATCACCCAACTTCATCAAAAGAAGTTTTTTGACAAAATATCAAAAGCATCGAAATTACTCATAGAAGACGTTAAATCCATATGTGTTTTCTCCGTCTTAACGAACGTACAATATAGTAAATGTGCGTTTAGAAGAACCAATTTTGTATCGTTATCTTTAATATTGAAGTGAATTGCCCAATTATCAAATCGAATGGTTAGAATATTTTCTAGGGCATAATCTCATCAGCTTTCAATGATATTTAAATTTTACTTACTTTTAACACACTTTCATATTCAAATATCAATCATAGGTCAATTCACTCTATTATTAAAGTTCACAACATACAATTGATTCTGCTGAATGCAAATTTGGTATTTTGTAGTAAATTTGTAAGAAGGAGACATCATATGCGAGTTTGGTGTCCTCTCAAATTATTTGCTAATCAGTTTATTATGATTATACCTACCTTAGGTATATTTTATTTTAACTATTGAGGGTTAATGGTATATGATATGTAGGTACATGTGAATTATGGTTTATAGCCGATACCAACTTAGTTCATAGTTGTGTTGTCGTTGGCATTCTTTTTTTTCATTATTGAACCAACTATATAGGTACATTTTTAAGTGATTAGGTACAATCGATGTTTTGCGATTTTCCAGTAAATTATTTTCAATTTTTTCATTGACATATACTAGGTATTTGCAGGGGTTGAAGTGGGAAAAAATTCAAGAGAGGACTAATGTCTCCATATAGTTTTAAGCGTTCCAAATATACCTAATTGTATGTATAAAATTCTAATTTGTTAAAGGGGACGCTTTTTAACCGCCTTTAGGGGTAGGGGGACTGAGTCCTCCTACCCCCCCCCCCACTTTAACCTCTAGGTATTTGATACATATTTTATTTCGAATAGGTACTCAATAATTCTTTATGGTTAATTTTTAAATTTTGTTTGTAAATAAAATATATACAAAAACACTTAAATTACAAGGTAATATTTAAATAATACTTATAAGAGAATACTTTAAGACTAAAACTAAATAACTAAATGTCTAAATTGAATTACAACTTGCCTGGATAATCAATAATAATCCATAATCTCGTATCTACTCGTTATTCTTAACTATTTTAATATTACTTTTATATAGGTGTCAGCTATTATTCCACAGTAGGTATAAACAATACTGAATAATGTAAACTATTTATTAAATTATTAAAATTGAATTGATATATGTTTCAAGTTAAGTATAACTAAATGTAAATACGGTTTTTAGTTGTATTCATGTTCCAATATGTTTACTTTACAGGTGATAAATTGAATACCATGAAAATTAAATGTTGCGATGCCTATATTACATATTTTTATTCATTTAAGAACTTTTATATACAAAGAAAAAATGATCAGCAGGCTATTCAAGATATAACAACAAGTCTTCAACTTCTCGAAAATGAAGATTCAATGTCTGTGTCTATGAAGCCCGGAGATCTAGTTGCTGCTAAATATGAAAATGATGGTCTTTGGTACAGAGCTAAAATTTTAAATATTGAGGAAAATGCTTTTATGGTTCAATTTATTGATTATGGAAATTCAGAGTTATCATCAAATCTTAAAATACTACCTGAAAAAATAGCTTATTGCCGTGCAATGGCATATCATTGCATGCTTGATGATGTGGACCATGAAGAATATGTAATATCAACTGTAAATGATATATATGATATAATTTTTGACTTTATAGGATCTATTGAAGTAATTGTAACTTTTTTAAGCGATGAAGAAACCTATTTGGTGAATATGAAGTGGGATGATAGATGTATAAAAACATTAGTAAATAACATTATTTCATACGGAATTACTCCAAAGACATATGAAACCTTGAAGGAAATTGATCAGCCTGGTGCAAAGATGGCTGTGAATCTTATTTATGCTCAGTCAATAAATGAATTCTATGTAGAAACTGAAGATAGTAAAGAAATACAAACTAAAATTGAATGTATACTTGAAAATGAAACTGTTTGGGAACCATTAACTGAGTATAAGATTGGTAAAATGGCGATTGCAAAAAGTATAACTGACAGTAGATGGTACAGAGTAAGGCTTTTAATGATACATGAAGAAGGTGAATGTACTTGTTATTTCATAGATTATGGAGTTCAAGACAAATGTTCAGAATTTTATGAAGCGGTTGGCTATCTAAAATCGGCTCCTCCATTTATTAAACTATGTTCATTACATATTCCAACAATGAAAAAAAATGAAAAGCTGTTTGAGTGTTTATCAAAAAGTTTTTACAATGAAATGGAACAATGCAAAAATAAAAAGATGACTATGACTGTAGTGAAAACTGGTGAACCAATTGTAGTTGAACTTTTTGTCGATGATTTTAATGTGGCCAAACTTATCAAACCTATTCCGGTGATAGTATTTAATGTTATTCATTTGAATATATTAACAGTTCAAGTAAATTCTCCTAGTAGACCAAGCTGTAATATCTGAATTAAGTACTAATTAAACTTTAAACCCTGTTGAAAGACCAAAATATTGTAAGATGTACGGAGCTTTGGTGAACGATCGCTGGTATCGTGCGGAAATAAAAAATAAGTTTAAAAGTTCAATGGATATAATGTTGGTGGATATGGGAAGTACTGTGATAAATGTAGAAAATGTATATGAGCTTCCTAAACACTTAGAAAATATTAAATACTTGACTTTACGCTGTTCCCTTGGATTGGATCAGAAATATTTCAGTTTATATAAACTGAAAGAAATATGTAATAGTAAAACAGAATTTATGATGATATTATTCGAAAACAACAACGTTGATGGACATCTTATACGCTTATTTTTGAATGATGAAGATGTTACTACAATCATAAAGAAAGATTGAATAAATAAAATAATTGTTATGTTATGTATTTCTATATGAATTTTTTTATTTCTAAACATTATTTTTAATTAATTTACTTATTTATTTATATGTTAAAATACACAATATTGTAATGTATCCAAAAAAATTTACATTTATCATAACTTTTTTTTTTGTAAGTACATAATATTTTGTTTATTTGTTTCCTTCTTTTATATGATTCATAGATACTTATAAAACAGTTAAATTATTATTATCATAAAACCAATAAATTTGTCAATTTTAAATGTTTGCAATTACTTTAAAATCTTTTAACCTATACCTAAATAGTATTAGCCGATTCTAGCATTATATGGTATTGAGGTTGATGCTTCTATTGAAATTTAAATGGATCTCTCAACAAATATACTATAATACATAAATAATAAAATAAAATTAATGATTAATAACCATCAACTTAATAGTTAGGGGGGAGGGCGCAATGGTCACTAGCCCCACTGTATATGCCACTACATGATGCACAAGCTAAATCTATGTGTTTATGGATTGTGATAAAGATTATAATATATATGAGTAGTTGGATTTGGTGCTTACCATAGACATGTTAATAAATATTAATATTAATATAATAACTTTTAATTTGTTATACTTCAAGTATATTTGGTTGTATATTAAAAATATGAAAGATATACAATTGGTTTCCTTAAACATCTTAAACCAAATTATGAAAATTGGACAACATAACATAATATATCAATTCCATATTTTCATGGCATTACGGTTCTTAGATTAGAAAGCATATTTCTCTAGATAGGAATTATGTATGAACATTTTTGTATTTTTTTTTTTACTATACGTATCTAAGTCACAAAATAGTATACAACAGTTTCATAAATTTTAACTATGGCGGAATTTGCACCTGTTATGTTTTACTGTAATTTGTATCACACAAAATATAGAGTAAATTAGTCTCACAATCCAAGTATCTAAATGTAAAACAGAGGTCAACTAAAAGTTTATAGTTTTATCAAGTTATCATTAATTTTATTTTGTAGGTGAGATTCTGATATCTATTACCATTGAAATATACATTATTGAAAATATATTTTTATGTTTTTGGTTGAATATAGCATTAATATAGTTATGGTTTTATTCACACCAAATATAGCTACAGCACACCTAACTATGGCTACATTATTTGGATTCAGTCTTGTAAAGTATTCAAATACTTTTTTTAAAAAGTATTCAAATATGTATTCTGAACACTTATATTTGTATTTTTCATTCATTAAAAAAATGCTTTTTTTGATCCAGAAAAATAGTTTTCAATTTGTGACAAGACATTATAAATCATAAATATTAATTTTATTCTTTGAACGAAATATAATATTGACCCATGATATGATTATTTTTATAAACACCAATCTGTTGTATCGGGATACCCTTATCATATGTGGTCAAAATCTATGAATAACTTATGATTACGATGTATTTTTAATTATTAATTAATAAATGTTAATTACAAGCCATTTAAAAACTGACAAAAACTAGTTGTGAAAAAAAATATTCTAATAGTATTAAATTTGAATACCTTAATTCTCATTTATTCGAATATGTATTCCGAATACAAAATAAAAGTATTCTTTAGAAGACTGAAAACATCTGTTACCATAATACCAGGTACATCATGCATCCTCAGCCTAACACACCATCAATAAGCAAATAAAGTAGCTAAATGTAGACTTTGAGAATACACACGATTCAACAGCAAAGTTTAAGAATTGGTGGGGGGGGAGCTATTTAAACTTGGGACCTAAATTCTCCCTCCTTATTTGTGCCTATGATTCACAGTCTTAAATAAATGCATAGGTCTATAATCACTATTTAATCTTCAAATTTATCCTTGTTCTAAAAGATAAAAACGTGATATATATTATATACATTAACAGTCATAATTAATATATTGTATATATTAAATGGTATATTATATATAAAAACAAACATTAACTATACTACAAACATTTGTATTAATTTTCCTTTTTGATGCCTCCAACAATTTTTGGATTATATTTAAACGTCTTAACCGGTGCTGCTCGACCGGCTTGTGTAAATTTCATATGATCTAAACGTTCCCTTTCTTCAATTTCTTTTACGACTTGCATATTTTTCCATGCTATGAAAAAAAGTGCATAAGATTATTTTAAGAATGTTATTGTTTAAGAAAACTAATTAAAATTTCTTACATTCTTTAAACTCTCCGATGACTCCTTTCTTTTTTGACTTCGGTTTTTCTACATTCCTCTTTTCTTCTATATTAAAATAATTCCTTACACTTGGTATTTTCAAAAATAGTACTTGGCCTAGTGAAATAAAGTTAGTAGACGCCCAGTATAAACATACTGCCTAAAAACAATAAAAGTAATAGTGGTAAACTGATTAATTACACTGAATTTGTTTTCTTAAGTTTATACAATATGTCAAGCAACATATCTATTCAATAGCAGAATTATTATATTGTTTGATTTAATTTGGTGTTAACAATAATGAATATAAATTGTATAATAATTTTAAAGTATGATTTAGACTTTAGAATGTAAAATGTTCCGAGATTTCTCTGATTAAGTAATAAAAACAATATCCGTTAATTAATAAAAAAAAAAAAATAGATCATAATCCTTTTAATATCAATGTTGCTTTGAGAAAGTTAATTGATACTTACACATGGGAAATTCACAATAAAAGGAAACACAACAAGAGGTAATACACGAACTCCATATTTCAAATATTTTCCAAATCCTACACCAGAGGATGCAAGTTTACCAATATCTGCTCCAAGCTAAAATGTTTGAAATAAAAATGAATCAATATAAATTACATTATTTTTGAAGTCATATTACAATACCTCTAATGTCACTCCAAGAGTAATAACAGTAACAATAGGCAATATGAAATACTGGTCAGGCAACGTAATATCTGAGAACCACCAGAGACCACCATATTTGAAACTTTCTAAAGGTAACATTGCCATACCTCGTAATCCCAAAAACATACTTAAAAATATAGGAAACTACAAAAAAAGTATAATATTATAATTTAAAAATCAATTTTTAGGATACAATGTAAATTACTTGAATAGCTGGTAGTATCATACCCTTCAATGGGTTTACTTGATTCGTTTTCATAAATAACATAAGTTCTTGTGAAGCCCTTGCCACTAAAAATAAAATAAATTTAAATACTAATTACATGATTACTTAATGTTTTCATTAAAAATATAATTTAATAAAAATAGTTTTGATATTTTCATAAATAATTATGACGTATAATAACCTATTATTTTCACTATTATTGGCATAAATGCATTTATTAAATTGTTACAGGTCTAGTTTATTCCTACATTCATAAATCAAGAAAATAACTTTTCAATGCCAATTTGTACAATAATCACATTAAATTGTACAGAAAAAACCATTCTAAAAGTGTAACATAGTACATAATTAATTTAAAAATACTGGACACTGGCAGTTTCAAGTAATCTACTAAATGCTAATTAAAAAAATATAGGCTGGTTGTAAAGTGTGTACTAAACTGATTTTAGAAATAGCAATTTTATCATTTATTGACTGATAATAATGTTGTTTGATAATATATTTAATACATTTTTACCTCATAAAAAATATATATTATATATTATTGCTGTATGCATACTGGAAGCCTATAGGTAAACTTTAGGGGAAGAGACAAAATAAAAAAGTTTCCTAAATTGCAAGTTAAATAAAGATTAAAATGTTATTTATCTATATATACTCTGTTCAAAATAAGATCGTGACCCGGCGGCCGAGTTGTGCGCATGGGCGTGGCTCTGTTCCGTGGCTGCGCCCCACGCGTCGCTGTAGTGGGGACGGCATCTAGCCATATGTCTGACCGCCGCCCGACGAAAACTGGTCGCCGCCGAGTCACGATCTTATTTTGAACAGAGTATAGGTACATATGGAGGGTTACGGGGAAAAACGATATTTGTCAATATTCCTAAAATGTTTAGTATTGCAGTTTTAAAGTGGGACTATGGCCTTATTTTCCCGTTATGGTAATATTTATAAACCTGTATTATATCATTGACCGTGATCTTTTTTCCATAACTCGATTCATGTGTCGATTCGTTATGAAACTAACCAAAAGGTACTTTAATTATTTGATTATGATCGTTTTTCCCCGTAACCCTTCATATATAAGATATAAAAAAATGTATTTTAATAATTAGAGTAAAAAAAAGTAAATCAAATGTAATAAAAGGTATTATTTGGTCAATTTAAACTATAATTGCGAGTTTCTAAATTTCATTTAAAACTTAGTAATATATTATGTCTCATGTCATATGTAATTAATACTGACATACTGAATAAAACTACCAGTATAAAAGTTCTCTCCTTCACGATGAGCATTCATTAAATTATAAGTTTACTACGGGTTTACTATTAATAAGGCAATTAATAAACAATAAAGTTTTGATAGGTAATTAGTTAAATCACACATTTTTTAAAATCAAGTAAAATGGGTAAAAAATTTTAAGTTTAAATTTAAATAGGTGACAAGTGCACTAATTATATCAGTAATTTTAAAGAGATTTCTACACCGGTATCAGTAATAAAAAGAAATACAATTTACTTTCATAAGGATTTCCATGTAATCGGGCTTCTGTCATTTTTTCTTGGTATGCTTGAATCTGAGGCATATTATTATTCATTCTTGCAGTATGGCGTTGAGACGTAACTACTAAAGGAAAAACCAATAAACGCAATATGGTAGTACCTGAAAGAAGAAATACATTTTTTATCATATTATTTGCAGGTAACAATTTCATGTAAGGGACATAATGAGTTTCAACTATTATAATAAATGTTATACACTGTTGAAAATAAATACTATTACAAACTAAGTATAACGAATCCTTTTTAAACAATAAACATTAAACAGTATTTTAGTCAATTTTAATAGTTTCCAAATTTAACTTGAAACAATTTTTATTTGAGTTTTTTTAAAGAAAATATTTATGTATAAATCAAATATTTCCCCAATTGTTTTCATTATTAAATGTTCATTTGGTTTAATAAGTACTTGTTATTTAGAAATAAATTGTTCAATTCACATAATAATAAGACAGTTAATGATAACAAATGTTTGTCTGTATTCAAATCTTTAAAATATATATATATATACAATTGCTATAATTTGCTCACCTGCTATAATGGCACCCCACCAGGGTAAACCACAAGATACGTGCATAAATTCTAAAGCATTTTGTAATAATCCTACAGGAGTGAAAGAACCAAGTCCTGCACTTTGTAGTGTCTGTTCACCTAATGCATTCTGTACGGATGTTGAAATTGAAATTATTATTATAACAGTTCCTTTTTAATATGATTATCAGATAAAAAAAGTTATACCAATGCTATTGCGACTTGTTCGACTGCCGCTTCAATAGGCACTTCTGGTGCATCAGGTATAACGTCTTCGGTCAGATCCACGGGTTCACTGTTGACCGATGAGAGTAGTTCCGGCTGTTCACGACCATCGCCACTGCTGTGTCGAATAAACGTGAGATTTGTGGCGGACAAGACGTGCCTATGATCCGTAAATCTGGTGTGACTGAGTTTATCAGGGGCAAGTAAAATTACCCTTTTAGAAATGGAAACTCGGTGGAAATGACGTACCTGTCCAACACGCATGCGGAGGCATAAGCTCATAACTAATCGCGGCGGCGGCATTTTCCAAAATCTGAAAAACCAGACCTACAGATCAGTCGAGAACACTCACTGCGGCCTTTGGGCCAGTAAAATAGTAATTTGTTCGATGCTACAGACTATTATATAGTACCCACGATGTACGGAATATATTACTATATTAGATAAGGTGACGCCGCTCTCGTATCTTTCCAAAAATTAAATTTTTGTTGTTCAGACTTTCTCACCAGAGTACGCTAGCATTCGCCGGAATTTATACTAAATTTTAATTTGCATATTTTATTAAATGTCTTTCAAATGTCAATAATCATCATTTAAACATTACGTTTAAGATATTATAGATATTTAGCTTGTAAAAAAGATTTGTACCTATTAAGTACAGTACCTTTTGTTCCACAAAATAGTTGTTCCATAGTCAATTCGTTCAAATATTAATTGTTCCAAGAAAGTGTATTTGTTCCAACCACCAATTGTTCCATGGTTTATTTATGTCATTATTTTTTTTAATAGCTAATGCCTAATGGCTATTACGCCTGTGCCAATACTGAATACTTTCAATATTTTTTTGTTCTAGACTCATTGTTCTCAACTAAGTTTATTCCCAATTGCATTTTGTGCCCAGGGCCCAGGGGCATATAGAAGGGGCGACGAGGGGGTCAGATCCCTTCATTGGCTTTTTTTTAATTACCTACCTTAGTAAAAAGTTTTGAGAGGGTGGGGGATTTTTCGATTTTCCATTAAGATAAGTTTTATCTATTAGATATCCAATTTTTTTTTATCCCCCCCCTTCAGAAATCATGTCTACGCCACTGTTTGTGCCAATGGATTTTTATCATGCAACATATTTTATAAGTTGGGAACCAATTTTTATTGGAACAATTATAATATTTTGGAATAAACATTGATTAGAACAATTATTTATAGGTATAAAAATTATTTAGAATAATGATTTACCAAGAGATTAAAATTTAGATTAAAATATAATTATTAGTAAAAAATAAAAAGGTAGGGAACAGTGGGTACCACCCAGGGGCGGATCTATGGGGGGGGGGTCAGGAGGTCAGCTAACCCACACTTAAGTTTTGCTGATCAAATTGTCCTCTTTTCAGATCTTGGGTAGTTAGACACTTGTAGGACCCTCGAATAAACACACATACAGTATACATTAATTTTTTTGTTTTATATACCTACCTAGTACACAATTAGTATAGATTTCTAATCAGGTTTTAATAAATGGGCCCTTGAAAAGTCCTGACCCACAGTTTCCTAACTCTGGATCCACCCCTGGTACCACCATGTACCACCCTGCTGTACAGTGTGGCACTATAAATTTAAAATTATAATGGATATGATAAATACTTAAATTTGAATTCAATGATAAATCATTGGGCACTGGCCATTGCATACGAAAAATGATTCTGAGCGAGGTTTTTTAGCCTGTATTACTATTATTATATTTTATGATTTAATTACTATTAAACTAATTTTGTTTTCTATTATATAGTAATATAGTAGGTTGAATTCATTTTTTCCTAAAACATATTGAATTTGAAAATGTCCTTGTGCGTATAAAATACAATGATATGCTTTAAATGTTTCATGTTCCCGAGTTTAATATTATTTTTAAATTACAACAAAATAACTAAAATCGTTGTTCTTCCTTTAGGCTTTAACTATATAATTTCGTCCACATTTTTACTTAGAATATCTATGAAATAAATTTTTGATTACGTGAATTTATACATGTAAATAGGTAGGTAAATTCAGGTGTATTCACTATTCAGGGGCGTCATTTGCACCAACTCTTTTTAAAACGCCTTCTTTGGCCTGCCAACAATAAATACAAGCACCGATATACCTAAGTGTTTTATATTATATATATTTTATATTTTTTCAGTATTAAAAAGAACATGTAATGTACTCATGTTTAATTTCCAAAAGTTTTTTTGTGGTCTCACAATATTATAATTGATAATATTATATATAACACAAACATTGTGAAGAATGGTACCTATAAAATACATTTCTGGTTTTATAAAGCTAGGTATATTATATATTTTGAGTACGCAGAGAGAAAAAATGTGTAAGTTAGGTTCGGTTAGATATTTTATTATAAAGATTAAAGGTGTTATACTCATACATTTATTTACCAAGTGTAAATACCACTGTACACTGGTATCCACAATATAAAATAAATACATTAAAATTACCTACACATATTTCGTCAAAAATAGTAGCATTATTGTGAATTGTGATACTTTCATACTAATATAAGTGACATATTAAATAAATTATACAAATATTTTACACTTTTTTTAATCTGTGGTTATGGTTGACTTGAGCTACTGCTGATTATAAGAATGATGTTGTATAATTGATATATTTATACATACATATTGTATTTATTGTATCGACACTCGACAGCGGCTTCAAAAACAAAAGAGTTATTCAAAGATGCTTTATCACAATCAGTTAGATTTGGTAGGAAATAGCGACAATGATAAGGATTCACAGATTCTAATATTCTATAGTCAGTACTCAGTCAATTATTTTATGTTTACGAAATTATGTAATATATTACTATTCAGATATTCTTAGTAAAAAAGATTTTTATTAAATTACCAATAGTCTTATAATAATAATCGTTAGAAAAATGTATTAGATCATTTTTTTACCGCATACAGATCAAACAGAACGAAATTATGTAACAAAAAGTAAGTTCTAACTCAGTGCTTGCGAAAGTAAGTTCATAAAAATTTAACGAAATCAAGAGAATGGATTCCTTTGATTTCGTTAAAATTTTATGAACTTATCGGGCACTTAATTCGTTTTTCATGTTTAGGAACGTACTGGAAGTTCGTTCAATTTTTAGAGAAACATGAACGATTTTTGAATTTGAGTGGAACGATGAATGTATTGATTTCACAATGATGTTTTTTCTTTTACTTTTTATTCATTTTTGTGTCTGTCATCACGGTTTGGGGCAGTAAAAGTGTTTCGATTTTCTTCAACAGTATCTTTTTCGATGGGAAAGTGAATCTAGTTGGTGCATTTGGGAGGTCAAATTTTAAAATACCCAACAGTTTTCAAGAGCGGAAAAATAACATAAAAATTAAAGAAAAACTAGAATTTTTACGCAAAATCGGTTTTCCAAAAAATCGATTTTTGTTTTTGGTTTAACTCTAAAACAAACAATTTTCACTGGTTGTGTATATTTGCATTTTCTATACACGATAACATTTTCAAAATATTTTGATTTATTTGGAACTGTTTAGGGACATTTTCATTTTCCATTTTTTTTTAGTTTTTTTTCTAAAAGTATCAATAAAATTTTATTTGTTGGTTAAAAAAGCTTGAAAATTTAATAAGAAGGCTCCTAGTATATTGTTTCAAAGGTAGATGAAAAATATTAAAAATTTTTAGTCACAGTTTTTTTTTTATAAGCATTTAAAGTTCAAAAATTGGCAAAATATGGAAAAATCACGAAAATTAGCAAATCATTTTGAGTTAAGAATTCGTAAAAATTTTTCTTTTTAAATCTAAGATTTCAAAATGTAATTCAAGATTCCTTATAAGATTATCTACCTTTATCAAAAAAAAAAAAAAAATGTGTATAAGAAAGTCAAATTAAATTTTTATGAGTGTTTGAAATTCAAATTTTACAACATTGGATATTCACTCGATTTCTCATGTAGCGATTTCTTTATTTTGTTGTAATTCAAAAACGTAAGACTGTAGATACATGAAAATTTCACTGAAAAAAACTAGAATAACTATTTGAGTTATTTTGTTGTGATTGTATAATATTATTCATGGGTACTTGAAACTTCTAAAGTACACTATTATATATCTATAATAATATCAGGGTTTATACCTAATGGATATTGTGATATGATTAATTTTGAATTTATTATAGGTCAATTTTTTTAGTATCATAGATAAGTACATAATATGTCTTATATCTATAGACTGACATACCGTCTCCTCTCAGAATCGTTTTTCTTATACAATGATATTATATCATTGAATTCAAATTTAATACCATTCATTATACAGTTACCCACTTGTAACCTACTGTACAGCAGAGCACCTTTTATCTTTCATTTCTTCGTTCATTTGTTTTTAAATAAAAGTAATTAAATCATTTTTAAAACTAAAAGGCAAAAAAAATAGAGCTTCTTTTAAAATTGAATAACTAATATGAACAGCTATAAAAATAAACCTGAAGTATCTATACGATATTATTGATAATTTTTACAAAATTTAAATTCTGTATTTCTGCCTTAGTGGTTTATTTATACAGTGTATTAATTATATAAGTTAAAATTATTACTAAATGTCTAAATAACAATGTGTGATGTTTAAAATTTTAAAATTAAAACAATTATTACTATAGTATAAACATGTACGATGTACCTATGTTTTTTATTTTATTTTACTTCGTATTAAAAAGGTACGAGGAAAGGAACTACCTAGTTCTTTTCTTCAAGACAGGTATGGTAAAGGATTTAGTTCCTTTTTAACAAGAGGAACGTGAATGTGAACTAGTTTCTGTCTTAAAGGAACTTTCCAAGCACTGTTCTAATCATCTGATCTTTTATCAGAATTAATCTGATCCTGATGCATGGCGTAAATATGTCTAAAATCCATTTTCTGGGGGGGGGGGGGTCGAGGGCTACATAAATAAATTTACATATAAAGGCGGAGTGGTATACCCCACGACCCACCATAAGTTAATTGTAGGTTTGGTTCTAAATTTTTTTATTTGAGCTAAAGTGCTAAGAGTATATCTTAGAAAAACATTACTTAAAATTTAAAACCATTCTGTGAATGGTATAACCTTATACCAGAAACCAAATTTTCATAATTGAAAGAGAATTTTGAACAAAAATTGTTTTTTTTTTTTAAATTACGAAAACTGTATATTTGGTTGCCTATCTCTATAACACCTTGTGATAAAGATTTTAGTTTACATCTCGGCTATAGATCAAGCCTGGCCTGATAATTTTTAATTGAGGTATTGA